AGCTTCTCACTGAAAACCTGGGTCTGAGCCAGATTTTCCACCTGAGCTGGAAGCAGAGGGGATCAGTGAAGGAGGGCAATGAGCAGCACACTGAGGTAACTGCTTTCTAAGGGCCGAGGAGTGCAGTCATTGTGTGCCTGCTTGTGATGGGCCAAGGCCCCACGAGTCCCTATTAGTGTGGTGTCCCTGTGGTGCTGACAACTGGCTGTAGACCATCCCCCGTCACACAGACAGACACAAACTCAGAATGGTGCTTTGAATGTGCTTCACTTACTGTTTGGGCAAAACCCTGTGAAATGTGTTTATTTTTATCCTGATCTGACATTATTCAGACCCATTTCTAACCCTCCCCGCAGCTCCGTAGTTCTTCAGAACACCCTGTTCTCTTTGCTTTTATACGTTCTTGCTCTTGACTTTTTCTCCATCCTCTCTCATGTGAGTGTATTGTCAGAGTGCCGGCATCTGCCCATGCTGGTGGTAATGATACTGTCAGTGCGTCTGGTTAGCTGTCAGACGCGCTGGATTTACTCAGGTCTGTTCGTGATGTTAAACACTGATGTTCCTCTTCTTTACACGCAAGGAGGAAAATGTCTCTGTGTTGGAGCTGCTCAGTACTAACACTCTGTAAATGGCTTTGTATAAATTCCTGTCTAACCAGAGGAAACCGTCTAAGTCAGTGAAACCACTTCTTTGTTATGATGGTGTTGTAGTTGGCCTTTCCTTGTAACATCTTTACATGTTTATTTTACGACTCTTTCTGCATGGATTGATAAAACCAAGACGTAGTGCTGAGACAATAAATTAAACAATTTTGAGAATATTAGAATTTACTTTTTCTGTCTTTCTGGAGGCTTTAAATTTAATGTCTTTAGTATATTGAATCAAAATAAGCAATACAGTATATGGAACCCTACTTGTTGTTTTTATTATTTTCTGAAATTCTTGATCCAAAAAATGAAGGATCAGTTATGAAAATAATTATCAAATTGATAATGGATGAAATGGTTTATTGTAATTAGAAGAAAGTACAAAACATTTTATGTACTGTATTGAGTGATATAGTGTATATACCTGAAGCGTGAAGCAGTTTTTAGTTCCAAAAATGTTCTTGCTGTACTGAAATACACGTTATAATTTGTGATAGTCTTTTCAAACTCTTTTCATTTAATTAAAGTATTTAAAATATCACAGACACTACAGTGTGTCGCAGTGTCTCCTCAAAAATGCTTTCTTGCCTTTTTTGTACCAACTTAATAATAAACTCTTTCCTATGCTTGTCTGTGCTGCTCAAATGCTACTTCCTGCTTTCCTGCCCAAGCTTCCTAACTTTCTTTCCTTTTCTTTCCTCCCTCTCCCTCTGTTTTTTCTTCGCTAACACCGGCCGCTTCTCTCGCCTTTTTGTTTTACTCTGTGTGCCGCTCCATACCCCGGCTCATTTCCCCCTCTTCCCTGTGTGCCGTTGTTCATCCCGGGGACTTGAACAGTATCTTCTCCTGCAGACTCCGCTGATGTTTACGGAGCAGATGCAGCAGGATGTTATCATGGTGCTGAAGTTCCCATCAAACTCACCAGTGACCCACGTAGCAGCCAACACTCAGCCAGGTTTTTCATCATCTGCCATCATCACAGTCACCGCCAGCCGCCTCTTTGCTGTCAATAAGTGGCACGGCTTGTCAGGTGAGACATTTATGCCCATGCACACAGTCTGCATTTTTGGCTGATTTGCCATCTTTTTGTGCTATTGAAAAGATTCATGCAAGTAAAAGAATGTGTGAGCCAACAGATTACTGTAACCTCAGGGGTTTTTTTAGGCAGACAAAGATGACCTTTTGCAAGCAGAGAATCATGTCCACACTACGTGGTTCATTGCTGCTCTCCATACTTGGTATATAACCTACAGTATCTGAAGACTGACCCGTCTCTTCTCTATAGGATGGACGTTGATTTGAGAGACAGTTGACTGTGTCTACTGGATAGCAGTATCGAATGTGACACATGCAGCAGCCAGCATTAGGTCTCACGTCCACCTCCATACATCAGCCTCTCACTTCACTAAACCTTATTTACTCAACATCCATCCTGCCCTGGAAGAAACATTAAATTTGATATCTCTGATTTTATAAAGATGGAGAGACCTCGTCCATGCACACCACCAACCAGACTGATTAACCTGATTGGTTTAGTTAGCTGGCATAATAAGACAAAATGTTTTCTGTTCTGACGTACAGTAGCTGACTAATAGCAAAGATTTACTCAGTTACTCATGTTACCTCAAAAATGGAAAATCTGTGCAGAACCTTTTTGTAAAGTAGATATTTTTGGGTGTTGGGCTATGAAAGGTGTTTCAGTATTTCATTTTATAGACTTAAAATCTAGTCAGTTAATCACAAAATTAATTGCCAGATTAAAACACAATGAATAGAATGTTAGGCTGCAGGCCTGCTCACAGGATTACAGTGAAAGGAAAGCAAAATGAGGATCTACCACTTTTCTCTGTGTTGTTTCAGTAGAAACTCTTTGGGTTTTAGACTTTGTCAGACAAAAAGAAGCAATCTGAAGACATTTTCAGACATTTTATAGTCTGAACAATTGTTTCATCAAGTAAAAAAAAAATCAATCCATTCATTGATAATGAAAGTAATCATGAGTTGCAGCCCTACATTAGGCTGTCTAAGCAGCAAACATTGCCAAGAGATGGAAAGAAATTTAATGTCCTGCTTTTGCATTTGAATACAGAGACATCAGACCCTTTTATATTTTAGACCAGTTTACTAATATATGCTGCTTAAAGCTAAAGTGACTTGTTTGTGCAAATAAATGAATTTTGTTGCACACTGTTAGCATAAGGAGTCATTTTCTCTATGGCCTTGGTAGCTTCTCAACATATTTGTCTAATTTGTGGAAGAACTCTTGGGCCAGTAGGTAAAACTGACTTTATAATTTCCAGTGAGTTATAATGAACTGAAACCAAGCGTCTGCTTCACAAGGCCACATGATTATATTAATCTAATCTGTCTTCTTCTCTGTCAGGTCATCAGGGCTCAGCAGTGCAGGACCAGCAGTATCAACTTCCTGTGGAAATTGACCCGCTGATAGGTATGCTCTCTTTTATGGCTGTAGAGGAATGTGCACGTGCATATTCTGTACATAGTGTGAACTTATTTTTGCACTGAATGATTTTTATGTTTGAATTTGTGTATGGATCCTGATGGCGTCTCATGGCAGTCTGCAGTGCTGTGTCCCTGGACAGTAGATTAGAGTTGTTTCTCAGCCTCTGCCCCAGTTCACTCCTCATGATATAGGCCCTGCTCTCACACTAAACCATTTGCATGCAAATTGGAATGCAATGAGCTGTGGCCTAGGCCGCCATTTCATCATCAACTCCCCCTCTTTCTCCTTCTCTGTCGTCCATACCATCCCTCCCTTTCTGCATCCTCTTTGGTTTAATTTGAGCAGAGGGAAAGGACGCGTGTCAATGAAAATGAATATGAATGTGGTAATAATGTGTGATTGAGAATGCACAGCGGATGGCTGTCAGGACAATATGGGCGCCTCTCATCTTTCACGACTTGTTGATGAGGAGGAGAAGAGCACCGAAGCACAGTGATGTATGGGATGCACTGGTGGAGCCTCTTCTATCTGCTCCCGTCTTTGCCTCCGTCTCTTTTGTGCAGCCTCTCTCAATCTCACGCACATCTGCAAGGGGGGGTGTTCTTTTTCTGTGCATGGTGTGGTCAGTCTCACCAGACCATTTCAACACATTTTTGTCTTGACTACTGAAGATAACCAGAGTGCAGTCTCACATGTACATATTTATCTGCACATTCAGTACATCTTACACTTTTCAGGCTAATTTTATCCTTTATATTTTTATGCATTTTTTTTGTCTTATCATTGATGGTTTATTTTTTCCTGTTTTTGTGAGAGCGTGAGTGTGTGTGTTTTGTGGGTGGTAGTGGGGACTTTGTGGTTGTCAGTAATATATATACACTGTTTGCATTCCTGAAGGAGTCTGGGATAAACACAGTAAATTGAAGATCAGTGCAGAGCCAACTGTAGCTTTGGGAAATGTTCAAAATGGGATGAAATATTAGTTGAAGTGGGTATACTGGATTTTCTCATACTAGACATGTTTCCTTGACACCTGTTCTTCAGCGCTTTTCACCACACCAAATAAGAAATACTCTACAATGGACATATCTCTCTGGAAAAGGGCCATTTATGGAATAGAGGAAATTTATTTCCTGACCAACCACTGACTAAATTACACAGCCAAGATGAATTTGTGCTGTGTGTTCTGACTTGAGCGGAGTGTGAAGAGTATCCACATGCTATCATTGCTCAGACTCTGACTCCTATGGAAAATGTTAATCCTTATAAACTTAACCTCCGGGATGTTTTATGTATTCTCTCATGAATCGTCTTGGCACTGTGCAGTGAAACTTGAGGTGTATCAGTGTGATGTTAACTGTAAACCATGTGCTGTATTATAGATTTAATGCTTCTCTGTGTATTTTCAGATGATGATTTTTCTTTTTGTCCCTCTTCTTTGCTCTTCAGCCAGTAACGTGGGCAGTCATCGTCGTCAAATCTCAGATCTGCTGGACCAGAGCATTCAGATCAGCTCGCAGTGTTTCATCATCACAGCCGACAACCGCTTCATCCTTCTGTGTGGCTTCTGGGATAAGAGCTTCCGGGTCTACTCCACTGACACAGGTACCGTGTATCCCTAGCGATGTTGTCCCCTGAGTTGTCGTGATCAGGAAAATCCCTAAAACTGGTCGTCTCTCAACTTTTTAAAATACATTACACCATTTTCCAGTATCTTTGTCCCACTCAGGGATTAGCTTCAACCATTATTTCCAATCTACAAATGTGTTACTACATACTGTACTGTAGTATGTTTAGTATGACATTTGTTTGTTTTGTGTGATTTTACATCACCAGCCTTTACAACAGTTCAATCAGCAGTACAGTTACACCACAGCTCATAACTGTCCCAGTGAAATTGTTATAAATGTGCACAATTATTTCCCACGGTAGGGATCTCTTTGTCCTCTTATTGTTTCCCAGTTCTAACGCATGTTTGATGCAGCCTCAAAGTCAAACTGCATCATTTCTTTTAAATCCTTTTTCAATTCTGGCACAAAACTCAAAAAACAAAGAACACACAAAACAGTGATTGTAAATGATGTTTACTTTAATATTCACCTCAGATATAGCGCATGTTGTCCCACAGTAGCCTGAGTGTTACTGGCTTAGATACTTGCATAAACACATAATTGCAGACATTGTTATTCACATGCTGTGTTTCCATTGAATATGAGGACATTATAACGACTAGTGTGTATTACTTTTCCAGAGACTAGCCCTAACCCCAATCTAACCAAGTCTTCCCACTAAAATGTAACATTTGTTATGGGGACTTGCTTTTTGTTCCTAAAGGACAATTTGCCTGCATAAGACTTGTCCCCACAACAGGAGTAATACTGTGCATGTACGCACACACACACACGGATGCCATCAGGTCAGGGGTCTTAAATGAAACTGTCTGAAGCTTCATCTTAGTACCCTGGTCCTCAGCTCTTCTCCCCAGCCCCATTCAGCATCCTGCATACAGCTATACAATATAGTCTGATTCAATTTCTACAGGCCAGGCCCTCTGTGCCTTCAATAGAGGAGGGAGGGAAGGAGGGATGGGAGCATAGAGATAGCTCTATTGTGCGACTGCCACCAGGGTGTACAACTGGAACGTGAACACAGTTTAATCGCACACGCTCAACAGCTGCCACCAAGGTCCCTAAAGCCCCCAGGTTAAAGAACTGAGGGATTTTATCAATTACAAGACTTGATTGGTACACGTGCACAAACACACAGCCTCATACACCTGCATGCACATGCATCCAATTTAATTTGTCTGTGTGCATTCAAGTGTATATGTGTGGAGTAGTTGAGTGTTCAATCTGAGGTGCATGGTAGCTATTATTGCTGCAGCTATCATTACTTCTTTTTCATGTTTATAAAGATGTCAAACACTTCTATGATGTCTCTGTTCTTCTTTGGAAAATTAGTCAGTGACTTGCCCAGTTTCTTCATAATCCATCTTTTCAGTATGATACAACTTAATTTTCCAGTAGACTGTGATTTTGACACAGACAGAAATGTCATGTGTTGCCAACTCTCCACTGTTTGACTGCAGAGGTCACACTATGAGGAGCATAATGAGTATTAGACAGCTAGACAGTGGGGCTGTGGTCTGCAAATCTGACGGCAATTAGCCTCTTTATATACGCATGGAGCGCACTGCATGTTCAGGGGCGCACACACACACACACTCGTATGCACAAAGTTGGAACAAATATTTATTCTTGTCTGGGAATTAGCAGAAGTCTGATCTTGTTGAAAAGTAACTAAGCAGACAGAAGATCTACAGACGTGGTGGAGAGAACAACATCTAGCAATAAATTCATGTTCAGTTTAATAATTTAGAAATTGTTATTAAAATGCAAAATGAAAACTGATCGTATTCCCTTTATTGTTCAAATGTAAGTTATTTATCAGCGTATCATTCTTTACATGTGTATATTTATGTGTTTTTGCAGGCAAACTGACTCAGATCGTCTTTGGGCATCGTGACGTGGTGATGTGTCTGGCTCGCTCGGAGTCGTACATCGGAGGAGACTGCTACATCCTGTCAGGCTCCAGAGATGCCACTCTGCTGCTGTGGTACTGGAATGGAAAGCACAGCAGCATTGGAGAGAGCCCGGGCAGTAAGTACACAAGTAAAGCCTGTTACTGTATGTGGGCACGCACACACACACACACACACACACAATTACTCTGAATGCTCACTCCCCCAGACTGTTGTGACTGTGTGATTTACGGCCTCCCTCTGCAAAGTAACAACTAGTTTCATCTGACCAGGCCAGGCCTCCTGCGCGCAGATTGGATTTCGCAGCACTGTCACACCAGGAAGAGCTTTTGATAATGTGTTTGAAACTGAGTGTTTCTGTGAGACCAAATATGGTGTGTGTGTGTGTGTGTGTGTGTGTGTGTGTGTGAGAGAGAGAGAGAGAGAGAGAGAATCTGTCTTTAATGTCAGTGAAAGTGAGGGCCATTTAAAGATGTTAAATGTGATGTTGGGGATCGTCAGCAGCACATGGAGGTTCACCACCATCTGAGGGCCACAGGGTCACGCAAGTCGATAAAAGTGAAAAATGTCACGGGCCTCCCTACGTTATAACATATGGCATTAGCCATGATCAAAGCATCACACATGCATTGCTCAGGCCTTAGCCTCCTCTGTGCTAATTTGGCGTACATGTTGTTAAGTGATCTCTTACAAATGGGCTGAAATTTATGACAAATTGTGATTTGGTTAATAGGCCACATTGGAGTTTTATTTGAGGGACAGTGTGGGATATATAATGAAGAAAAATGGTTTATTAAGTACATTCATAGGGATTTTCAAACTTTGAATATAGAAAAGATAAACACAGAGTTAAAAAACAGAGATCAACATAAACCACATTCACATTTTCTGCTCTCTTTGTATTTATATTTTGAATATTTATTTTTTTTACTCAGAAAACAAGTTTAATAACTTGGTAAAAGGTAGGGGCTCTTTGGAGTCATGGATAGCTTTGACTACATTAGTTTCAGCAGCACAGAGCCTCATTTTAATCCTTTCAGTCTACACGTTGTTGTTTACTGAATTTGACTGAAGATTACACGAAGATTTAGATTTCAGAGTTTGAGCTGTATTTATTCAAATAATGATGTACAAACATTTTGACTACATATTTTCTACAAATAGACGGAATTTTGATCGATTTACGAAGTTGTTTTATACTGAAAGGACTTCTGTGTTTATGTAACATGTGCTGTTCATGTTCTTCTAAGCACATGTGTCAGTCTAACCTCAGTCGGCTCAGTGCAGTTACCACACAAAGCAATCGTCATCCCAGCTCCTCGCCACCACAGTGTGATGCTCCATTGCCCCAGACCGCAGGAGGCTCTCCCGGGCACGAGTCTCTACTGTGCACACACATACACACTCACAAGTACTCAACAATACATACATAAAGCAGACTTGTCTTTATTCCTCTTCCAAAAGATGAGAAAATGAAATGCTTTCAAGCTGAAGCCTCTCCATACACTTGCATGGGAACGCATGCACACAAACATACGTGCGTTGCTTTTCATGTGAATATCCCCCCACACTTCACAAGCTTCACACAAATGCCTCTGAATAGCTGATGTGCACATGTACACATTGACCTATGCACACTTGGTTCTTGTTGTAAGCATATGTTACTGTTGTTGTGCACAGCAGCAGAAAGATTTCACAGACACCACTGCCATCTGCTGGTCACAACCAGGGTGACACTGACACCAGCTGTGCTTTTGTTGCTTTAGATGGACTGAACAATAAGTAAATGAGTTACCATGTGATTGGTGTAAAGTCACACCGCAGTGTATAAACTGCTCGTTGACGTTTTCCGTCAAGTTCCTCTTCAAAGACTGAGAACACACAGACACACACACCTTTTCCACATTTACCCAGACACCCTCCTCAGTGTGCCAGCTTTAGTCATATACAGGTATGAGATTGCCATCAGATGTGGCCCTAATTCATACCAAATGGCAGGGTAAAAAAACTCAGTTAACTGATACATACATGAATCAGCTTTATTATCTTCTCTGACCAAAATCCAACATCGTGCTTTAATCCACAGGCTTGTACCATGTAAGCTAGTGGACGTTAGATCTGTGACTAAATTAAATGTAGATGTTTAGGCTGGTGTGACCAGTGTTTGGACCGCTGTTGCTGTGTAAAGGACAGCTGGAGCTACTGTAGCATGAAGATGGGTACTTGAACATTAATTCTTTTTGTCTTTCATTAATAAGTTCAGTTACCATCCATATTGTTTTTCAGTCATAGTCCATTTACTGATTTAAGTGTCCCCTTGCAGTCTGTAATATTCTGTTTACAGCACATATATTAACTTGCCCTCTAGTTTGCCCTTTTTGAGAGGGTCAGTGAGCAGTGTGGTCTGTTTGGACTCTTTCTGGCAAATCTAATTCAGGTTTAACAGCAGCTATGACTCTTGTAAAAAAAAAAAGTATCTGCCCTGTTAGTAAACGCGCGTCGAGTTTTATGTCATTAAATTCAACAGAGAATCACCATTAAGAGTTTAGCCAAGTACATAAGATGCTACATTTATTTTTCAAAAAGGCCTAAAGCTGTTAAAGTATATCCCACAAAATGCTTGCCACTGGAATTGACTGTAAGAAATGAATTTTAATTGCAGACTGTTTGGGTTGATGCACAATTACAGTATCTATGGAATGTTGATATCATCAGGCATTTACAAATGAATCATGTAGTGAGTCTCATTGTTCTGTGTTGAGCTGAACGTAAGCTGTGGTAGAAGAAAACGGGGACCTCCTCTCTGAGATATGAAACGCTGATGAAGTCCACTCTCCAGTTCAGGGATGCTGCCTCACTACTTGCCACCAAACGATCACACACACCTCTGTTGAACAGCGTGGTTCCTCTGTTACCACCTACAATTGGACAGAGGTTTAGGATACAGCATCTATCGGCCACTAAGCCACCTACATTAGTTATTTAAAAGATAAAAAAAATAATACTGGCATCCATGTAATAATGCAGGAAACTCCAAACTCTTTGCAAGTGTGTGTTGTGTGTGACTGTGTGCACATGTGCTGACAGACAGAGAAGTAAAAGGCAATTTTGTTTTGTCGCTTGCCTTGACGGCTCAAACCAAAACAAAATCACACAAACTTTGACTTGGACTATAACTTACTCCTGCTCCCTCTGGCTCTTTTCTCTCTCTGTTTAATGCAGAGACATCTGGATCCAGTGAAAGCAGTCAAGAGGAGAAGGTTTTAAAAACAGGGGGAGACCGTGGGTGATAAGTGTTAGAAAGGCAGAGTGAATGAGGGGGAAATGTTTGTGCAACAAGCTACAGCACATGCATCCATGTACTGTAAACCAGCTATGAAACAGCCTCTGAGATGAACTGCTGGTATTGTTTGGTTTTCATTTTTGTCTGTTTTCACTTGGTTTTTCATAATGATTTTTACCCTTTTGAAAGGCCTCCTTTTTCGAAATCCATCAGCGACTGCTGCTTTAGAGAAAGGCTTAATATTTTGCATTTCACTCCCTCTAGTGAGCAAAAGTGGTAAAACATTTATGGTGATGCATAACGATTTGTTTGTGTTTTGCCAGAAGAGTTTACCACACCACGGGCCATCTTAACAGGCCATGACTGTGAGGTGACATGTGCAAGTGTGTGTGCTGAGCTGGGTCTTGTCATCAGCGGCTGCAAAGGTAAGAATGTTACCTTCGCCAAGGAGGTTATGGTTATGGTTTTGGGTGTGTGTGTGTGTGTGTGTGTGTGTGTGTGTGTGTGTGTGTGTGTGTGATGGTTAGTAGGATTACAGACTAAAGGCTGGCTGGATCATCAGTATACTTTGTACAGACATTGGTGGGGACCAATCCTAGAAGTGATTAGACTTTGGGTTAAAACAAAAAAAAGAAAGGGCAGAGGTCAAGATCACAAGCATTTAAAAAAAGACCAAAATGTAAAAAATACATACCTCTGTCAAAAGTTATCATTTAAAACTTGACACACATATGTAGGGTGGCAATGTCCAGACCAAATTTCTTTCATATTTGTATGATAACAATCATATTAATTGAGATGGCTGAGACAGTTGTCCAATAAACTCAAGAAAGAGACGTTTGTAGGAATTGTGTGTCGTAGTACAACTGCACAAAAATACTTGTAAATAAAAAAAAGTCATTAGTAAACTTAATTTCTCCTGGTATTTTGTCCTTCCTGTGTACAGAGGGTCCTTGTCTGATCCATTCAATGAATGGGGACCTGCTGCGGACCCTGGAAGGCCCAGAGTGCTGCACACGGCCCCGCCTCATCCAGTCCTCCAGTGAAGGACACTGTATGATCTACTATGACAAGGGACAGTTTTGTCTCTTCAGTGTCAACGGAAAACTGCTAGGGAACATGGTGCTAGACGACAGTATAAAGGTGAGGAAATGCATGAGCACGCGTGAGCATGTGAAAGTGCCTTTACATATGCGTGTCTGCACCACATCAATGTAGACAGCTCTCCTACTGATTAAAGGTTTTCCTATGATTTGAGATGTGAGTAAAGTCTGCCTGCCTCAGGGCCGACTACAGCTTTACGTCTATTGTTCCATTTCACATGCACACACCAGGGGAAATGATCCTTTTGATCCACAGCCCTGTTGTCAGGTGAAATTGCGTTGGCAGCAGTTGGAGAGAACATTCCAGAGCAGTGGTCAGCTCTGGACACCAACACCATTAACTACCCTCTAGCTACAGGATGACACATTCCACATTTCCCACATTTCCTCTCTCGTGGCTGGAGTGACACAAGATAGCAACTACTGCCTTTGGTTTCCTGACCTGTTGTTTCCGGTTTGGCCTGGGAAATGTAAGCTAGCTCTGACAGACAGCTATATGCCTGTTTCCTATTAAGAAACCTCTCGTGCCCAGGCTTCTAACCAGCCGGCTCCCACACACTGCCGCAAGTATGATATAACAAACACAAATATAACTTGTAGAGCATGTTATTCAGGAGCACACAAACAAATAATGCATTTGAGTGTGCTGGGGAAGCAGCTAGTGATTAGTTAGTAGGTTACCGAATGCTATGTGTGTTGAGGAGAAGCTAATGATGCTGTTAGATATTTTTCATGGGTTTTTTCTCTGAAGATGTGAGACTGCGACTTGGGAGCAGTGCAGACCGCTCCCGGCCTCATCAGCTCTGCTCTGCTGTTGTAAATTCCAACTGTGTCAGATGGCATTAGGAAAATCCTAACATCTTGGAGTGAGGCTGTGAGAGTCTCCACCTAGGCTCCACCTTCCCAGTCTGAGACTACATCAGTATTTAGTACACTCATGTACATACCAGAATCAATCAGTCGCCTTAGGAGCCCCAGCACAGTATGACTCCAGCATAAAGAAGTGTTTGTCATGGCCTGCAGGATTCACTTAGAAGGTAGTGTAAGACTGAGAAAGGGAGTGAGTGTATGCACCGTGAATTTATAAGGGTCCGGTGTCAGGGGTTAGATGACAGGCTAACAGCCAGCATCTTAGTCTAATAGCAGAATCAAGTGACAGGAGCCATACTGAATGGATTAGAGTCTTTTAACTACTAGTATAACTCAGGCAGTGTAACCATTCCAGCGTTTTTTTCACTGCCTGCCTCCATGTAACTGGGGGATTAACAGCACCATAAATTAGACTTTTTACCCTCCCCATCCTCAGAGTCCACCTACCACTCCCTGAAAAAAGTAGGAAATATGGGCATGAAACGCGCATGTATTTCTGCTGGAGTCATTTTTTAGTCATCTGATCTTGGGTAGCCATCTTAGCTCCCACAGAGCGATCGGCCATCTTGTTTGACCGCCCAGTGGTAAAGGGGCTGATTTATAATGTCTGTGTGCAGCCTCCTGCCTCGCCAGGCTGAGATGTCTGCCAGCTCTCCTGCCTCCTGCTGAGCTTCAGTAAGGTCATGGACTCTGTTAGTAGATGCACAAAATACATAAAAAAAAACCCAACACAGTACCTGAGTAACCGTTCATGTAGTAATTTTTTATTGTTATTGTGCAAAACAGCAGGAACTTGCCATGAAACAACTGCTCACTTGATCAATTTATGAAATTTAAAGCTGTACTATTAAATAGGATTATAAATTGATTAACTATGACTGTGTAACATGAACAGGGTCACTCGTAGTGACAAACCCCAAAGAAATTGTCATCCAAATGTGTAGTTTGTCTCATTTCCACAGTGGTTTTTTTGTGTGTGTGTTTTTTCTTTTACAGCTTGGCCTGGAGCTTTACCGTTTTTGTTTCCAGTTGCATCAGGCATGTGTTTTCACTTAAAAACTGTGGTATATCCACTGTAACTACCAGCTCACTGTACCAAACCAGAAACAACAGGTTGGAAAACCATCAAAGAGTAGGGGGACAAAGTTAGCACGTAGTGCCGGACATATTTGAACATCTGGCAGCTAAAGAGCCAGATATCATCACCAGTTTCCTAAGAGTGAATATTGGATTGGATGGGATGCTCGTGTTGGTCATGTCTGCTGGTTTTGGAAGCAAACAACGAACAGAACATAAAGGCAATAACACATCAATGTTATGTTTCTGGCTTCTCCTGCGCATCTAAATGGCCAAAAATCCAACCACTGCTGCTTTAGTGGTGCGGTGGGTAGAGCAGTCGTCTCCCAACCGGAAGGTTGAAGGTTTGAATCTCAGTGGCTGCAGTCCACATGTTGAAGTGTCCTTGGGCAAGACACTGAACCCCCCCCCAATGACAATAAAAAAAAAAAAAGCTGCTTCTTCTTAAACGTGCAGTTTTCCACTAAAAGCCATTTTTGGGTTGGCATAATGCATCACAGTTTTTCCCATGTACCTGCTTGGACAGTAATTACCTTCAGGTACATTGATCATGATTGGCTGAATGGAGTGTATAGTCTTACCATTGTTGTCAGATTAATTCTGAATGTTGATACACAAGGCAGTTACTGTACACACACAGCAGACGCACACCGAACAAATCAGACCAGCGCTGCACTCGGTCACGCTCCATTCCCAGCCATCTTGGATGATGATCTTATGTGGAAATTAGGCTGGATTGATCCTCGAGGCCTCCCGCCAGCATGCAGCATGCCAGTGCGTCATTGTGTGCCTGCTTTGTAATGTGCCTGTCTGTCTGTGTGAGCGCCTTCACATGCACATCTTAAATGTTTGCTCGATGAGAATGAGAAACAGAGCTCATTTAGTGTGGTAGGAAAATCCACTGTTTCTTTTTTTTAAGACTGAACACTTGCTTAATTTAGTCTGTGCTTTTTTTATGTCCTGTCCAGTGTGTACTGCTCTTGAAGGGTTATTTATGTTTTCTTTACCAAGTCAAGTTCCTGAAAATTACTTGCTCCAACTTCAGAACTGGAATTGAAGTTTCATTTTGCCATTTAATATGAGCTTGATTCAACACACATGCTGCTGATGATTCAAGTGTCTCTTGTCTTCATTGTCACCACAAACCACAAATGAGCAAAGCTCTAAATGTATGTCATTTGCTGCTTTTGTGCCTCGTCCTTTCATCAGCTACAGTTACTTGCTGATTGATGCTCTCGGCTGTTTCAGTTTCCACTATGCACTGTGTCCATAATGGACTCGAGACATGACTTGATTTGTGCAAGTCTTCTTCCCCGAGGACTCATTCAGCTGTTAGTTTGTAGGAAAAGCAGATGAGACAAGTAAATCTTCGAGCCTCCCTGTGGGGAGCCATCTTTGTTACAAGTCGGGGTCTGTTGTACAGAAAACCCATAAGGATTGCGGCACTGGCCTGGGATGTTTTGTTGAATCACATGACCTGACAGTATGAGCTTTACTCTGACATAAAAGAGAAACTGGTCCCAGGTCATCAGTTGTTTCAGAGACTATTTATGCATGTGGTTCTTTGCTGCAGTGAAGTAACAGTCACTTCCCACTGTACACTGTGCTTTACCTTTTGAATTCTATAACCAAGTCAGACCTATTAATTACTTTAAACACCGTAAGGAATGTACCAGTTGCAGAAAGGGAATTGAAAAGATGTACTTTTCCTCTGTTTCTCTTTGGCAGGCCATGCTTCTGAGTCGTGATGGCCAGTATCTGCTGACAGGTGGAGACGGGGGTGTAGTATCTGTCTGGCAGGTCCACGACCTCAAAAGGCTGTTCACCTATCCCGGCTGTGACGCAGGAATCCGCTCTATGGCGATGTCGCATGACCAAAGGTAACATGCACACACGTATCTTTTGCGTTCTTGAAGTAGAAGTACAGAACAGTTCCTGTGCTTACAGCAGCTTTTGAAATAATAGTTATTTCAAGCTGAATTCATAAACGGTAAACCGCACCTTTGTTCATTTGCGATCAGCATTTATGTTATTATTGCTTTCCTTGGTGGCTAATGGTTAATTTTAGGAAACCTCAGATTTATATTGCAGATATTTCCTCTGAATGAAGTAGTAACACTCGGGTACAAGCCCCTCAATTAAATTCTACTGACCAAACAAAAATAAAAGAGTAGATGAAATTCATGATGTTCCCTCCTAACGTCTTCAAGGTGCATCATAACTGGCATGGCATCTGGAAGTATCGTGCTCTTCTACAATGACTTCAACAAGTGGCACCACGAGTACCAGACCAGGTACTGAGCTGAGACTGACAAAGATGCAAACTGTGTGAACCGTTATCAAAGGCACTACTCTGTCTATATTGTGATATCCTATTGTATCTTATTGAAAGAAGGAAAAATGTCCTGTTATAGTAGGTAAATCGAACTATTTTTAAAAAGGGCATTGCTATATTTTATAGATTAGATTTTCATATGAATCATAGGGTGGGGGGGCTATGTTACTGAATGGTTAAAACAAATATATTTTTAGCTGTAAGTCTATTTTCATGTGCTCTGGAAAAGAAAAAGGGATTTACGGGGAGCTGGTGAGGACCTTTTCTCGACTTAAAAATCCAAATATTTGTCTACGTTTGGTGTGTTTTTTTTCCCCTCGAGGTGTGTATGAGGGTTAAACATTAAGCAATGCCTCATTTGTAACATGCGTTTTGCCATTTTGAAATGTTTGACTAAATGTATTGCACACAAGCATAAATGAAGAGGTAATATACACGCACACAGTATAAATATCGAGCTATATATATACATATATATATATAGTCCTCCATATTTAAAGCTTTGATTCTCTCGATATTTCTGTGTGGCTTACCATTGATATAAAACATCAGCCCAGACCTCTTGTTATATCATTTAATACTGTAACCATCAAAAACACAAAACCTCCCACCACCAGTGACGTTAAAAGCTTTATGTAGAGGAGGATTATGCTCCTTTCTCCTTTACACTTCTTTCCTAAATGATTGAATAAGCTAAAACAGTTGATCCATTTTTGTTTAAATGGGAATTTTGATTGATGTATGTGGTGGAAAGAATGAGCCTAAAAGATTAGAATGTAATAAATAAAAATCACGTCACATCATACTTAGTGCCCAGGCCAGCTTAGCATCTTCAAAGTCCTCTTTGAGTCTCGTCTCTAAAACAGTAAAGTGAGATGTGCAATGAAAAGAAGGACTTGTTAAATTCTAGTCTCCCCACCACCATCTCATCCGTCTAAATGACACGGTGAGTGATTAACATCTGATTCAATGACAGTAATTCTTTGAGCCTTAGTAAAATAAATGCCCACTTGAATCTTTGATTTCAAAGAAACATTCCTTTAAAGTTTGAATCTCTGAGAACTGCCGTGATCTCTCAACCAATACTTTTTCTTTTTTTGGCAATCAGTTTGAAGTGTGTTGTGTGCTGACTTATGACAATAAAATGAAATTTTATGACTTCATCTGTGCTCGGTGTCAAATTATCATTAGTACTCACTTAGACTAAGACTGCACAGCACCCTCTAGTGGCCAGAATCTGGTCACCACAAACACCATGATTTAGTCTTTAATGCATTTTTTTCACTTTTTTTTTTTTTGCTATAATGCTGTTTCAAAATAGTGAGACATTAAAAGCAGCCACTCTATGCCAAAAGAAAGTTTGACACTCGTTTTAAAATTCTTTTGATACAAATTTCCTTTTACAAACTGCTATGACAAAGCATAAGAAATCTACTTTAACTACATATTCGTAAGAGAAGCTCAATGAGCAGCTTGACTGTGCATTTGTGAGAGTTTTGTCTTATAGGAAGGCAGAGAGTTGGAAAGGAATATTCATGCAGCTGAGAGTCCAGAAGATGTACAGAGGCATGGCGAACCACTGGAGTTAGCCAGCTGGCATAAATGCTGTGGAATTCAAAACAGGTACAAACAAGAGCAAATCACTTAGAAATTAATCTGAGGATGCACAATTTGGGATTTTGTTTTTCACTGAAGCTGGCTTTTAGCCAGCAGTGAAGCACAAACCTCGCATCTTGACAGTATCAATCCAACAGATAAAACAAAAACCAAAGCATTATTTTGAAGGAACAGTGTTGACTAGTCTTATGCAGCCTACAGTATAGCATTGTCAACAGGAGCGACTAAAACCAGAACGTGCATCTGTCCAACTGGTTTTGTAGCAATAAGCAGTTCATGGGAAACAAAGCTGCAGTTTGATTGAATTTCTGTTGGATCTACAGTATTTTCTCTGCTTGCTGTACATATAATGCAGTTATGAGTGTAGGGGCCATGACTGCTCAGACACGGCAAAAGTAAACCAAGTTACAGGTGGACAGCTAAGGTTCAACATTATGTACAACTCCAGAGTTCATACCAAACAATACAGAGACAGTAGCGGAGTGAGGCAGTGGGTCTAGAAAATAATCTACAGTATCAAATGGGCTTATAATGATTTACTAAGGCAGATACACTGCTAAGTCATGTTAAAGGGTTGGTTCACCCAAAAAATAAAATTCTAGTAGTTTCTAGATGTGTAGGATATGTCCAGGTTTTGACATAGCTTCTCTCACTACCTTAACGCTCAGCGTGACTTCTGTAAATCAAGCCAAAGCATGAGAATCGAACGCAAACCACATAAGGCAGATTTATACTTCTGCATCACTGCCATGTTTAGGAACATACACGTCTGATTCTGTGCCTAGCTGTTGCATTTATACTTGTGTGAATGTTAAGGTTATGTCTACTGTCTTCAAATGGCAGGAATTTTCAGCCAGGCACAAAGCTGTTATAATTTTCATCCTTGAATTGGTATTATGCCATTTTGAGTGCTGATATTTTGTCTAGGCGAGAAAGTAATGATTTAGATTGAGAACAGGTGGGCGGTATAGCCACGTAATGCCAATTTAGAAATTTGCTCAGAGGTTTTCGTAGGTGTGAGTAGCCGCTCGCAGACAAATTACCAAGCAGCTACGAGTCAGATCAACCAGTTGGTGTGCAGGACACGCAGCTCCGCACATCGCATAGTTGAGATTTGCTGCATACAGCAGCTATTCATCGACGCCTCCGCATAGTTGGAGACAAATATAAGTTAAGCTTCAGGTCCTCCTAACCCTCCCTGCTCTGTTACAGCCTAGCCATTACCTTTTTGTCCACCCACTGTACTGTAGGTGTACATCCACAGTTATCAGGAAAAAACACTGATGGTGTTTAGCGTTGGTTTAGTGAGTTATAACGCTGCACTACGGGTAGCTGTAGGCTAAGTTCAGATGTCTGACATGCTGAAATACCTCTATGAAATATTGTACACTCTAAGCAAATGGATCCCACACTGGGATGTTTGTGTGCCATGAATAACTATTTACAAAAAAGCCATAATAAATAAAGGAAAAAAATTCAGTGTGATACAGTACGACTTCCAAAGACAGCCACTCAGAACAGTGATATTAAATTCATTCCCTTCCTCTAAATCCTCCATCAATAAATACAAACATATATACAATTGACCAACTTTAAGGAAACGCTTCATCCTACGTTTCTAAAAATGCGTGGGACAACAGCGAGAAAATGTGGACGCAGCAGGCACTGGCTCAGTTTACAGCTACTGGAAATACTCGAGGTGGATGTTTACTCTTCTCTTCCCGTGTTAATGATACTGTACGTGCAGGGAAAGCAGAGTAGTGTGGGAGTTAACGTGGCTACAGAATATACCAGCCAATTAAACCTTCTCTACAAGCTCTTCAGCAGGTACAGAGAGGGGAGAAGCAGGGTCTGCAGGTGAGGGTGGGGTTGTGGATCTGGGAGGTGTGGAAGGAGGAGAAGGAAACAAGGTTGGATGGATGGAAGAGGGGGAGGAGGGTTCTTGTTTGGCTGGGGAAGAGAGAGGGAGAGATACAACAGGTATATTGGGGGAAACTGGGGAAGGGGATGCTTCTTTGGTTGGAGAGGAGGGAGCAGCTGGTTTGATGGGAGATGGTGGGGAAGGACAGGAGGCGGGTGTAGAAGTAGGTAAGCAGGTGAAAAGAGCAGGAGGGGCAGAGGGTGAGGGAGTTTCTAGAGGTAAGCAGGGAGAAGCAGAGGGTGACGTAGGTGCAGGACAGGACGAAACCGGTAAAAAGGTGATGGGGAACGTTTCAGTGGAGGGTGAAGGGGAGGACTGAAGCAAACTTACAGGAGCAGAGGGAGGGAGATGAGGCTCAGCAGTTAATGGGTTGTTTTCATTTGGGGAGTGAGAGCACAGAGGATCGCAGGTGGACGCAGCATCAGGCACAGCAGTCTCTATGGTCTTGGGAGCCTCAGGAGGCACAGTTCTAATTGGTGACACCAGTTTGGCAAGTATTGGTGCCTGTTTGGTTGGAGAAACTGGTCCCGACTTTGCTGGCAAGGCTGGCTTGACTGGGAGGGTAGATGGGCCTTTCTTGCCAGCTGGTGAACCTGAACATGACACTGTCTGGGAGCCTGGATAACAGTGGGTGGTGAGCTGGAGGATCTCCTTATCGAGAGCTGTGTTCTGGCAAAACAGTCAGTCAGATCATCAGCTGGATACTTATGTACGATTTAGGTTCAGATTAGACCAATAATAACAGAAAGAGATACACCGAAGACAGAAAACCGCTAATTTAGCCTCAAGTTCTCCAGTGAATGACTAGCTGGACTCTTTAATTATTAGCAACTGACCCTCTTGTGTTACAGTACACCCTTGATTTACAGTATATGAAACAACCTACTGGAATGGACATTAATAAGATGATTAAGTAAAGAGTATGTTGAGAAAGCAAACCAGATCATTAAGCACTAGTGTGTGTGTGCAGAGAAAAAGGGCAAATGAGAAGAGAAACTTTTTCATTCAACAGATTTTGTCCTTAGTTAGGCCAATAGTGTTTGAAACAAAAGGCCGCCCACCTTTCTTCCTATAAATGGAGTTTTTCCTTCCCGCTGTCGCCAAATACTTGCCCAAGAGGATTTGTTGGGTTTTCCTCTACAATATCCAGACCTACAAGTTTGTAAAGTGTCCTGAGATGACTCTTGCTGTGACACTATGCAAATAAAATTGAATTGAAATGAATAGTTAAAAAAAATTCAAATTTTATTTGTATAGTGTCACAGCAAGAGTCATCTCAGGACACTTTACAAAGTAAGGTCTAGACATTACTATTTAGAGGAAAACCCAACAAATCACCCTTTTAGCAAGCACTTGGCGACAGCGGGGAGGAAAAACTCCACCAATAGTGTGTTCTTACATGCAACATTCCTCATTTACCCTTGTCCAACTTCTCACCAGCAGAACAGACAAGGCGTAGCATTAGGGACTAGTACATACCATTGGAGCTAAGTCGGAAGAATGTAATTCAGGGAGCAGGGGGAAGCAAAAAGGGACAAAGACTAGTCTTACAGCTTCACAAAATAAATTCAGCACAACGAACATGTTGGCAAATGGGCAGTTTTTGTTCCAACTCAGTGTTAATCTTGTTTTTACAAATTACTATAATGTATTCCAAAAAAAAGTTTTTACATTTGACAAAACTGAGGTGGAACAAACTGTAAGACTTTCTATAAGTGACTGATTCAGGCAGAGACGTGTCAGTGAGCTCTTAGCTGCATTTACACAGCTGTGAATCAAATGCAGTGCTAAGATACAATTAAATGTGTTTTTCATTGTACTAGCTTTCGAGGATGAGGCTGGTGTTATTCTGTTATCAACGAATCCCATGAAAAGACTGAACTCTTGTCTGTTTAGCAAATGTCTGATAGCTTATTATTCTTGTCATAGAACTCCACTGCTGTCCAAACACTATTAAAGCACATTACAGATTAGTACTGTACCACATCATCATCTGGATTTATCTCAATTGTGAGACAGGGCTAAGTCATATGACAGCACACAGCGCTGGAGGGCCAAAAACGCTTTGTCTTCCTATGGGATTTGTTGACAATAAAAAAAAGAATAACGCCAGCTTTATCCTCTAAAATGTACAGGGGAATTCTGTATCCAAGCCAAAAGAGCCACATTAGTTTGCATCCCTCTCTGTGAATTGGAACTAGACTGGTGCCGGCGCAGTTCTTAATCTTCTCCACATGGTGGCAGCAGAGTACCACTAATTTGAAATGGTGATGTGCCAATTATAGATTTGTGAAACTGCAGAACAGTGCTTTTAAGGAGCTACTGAGATGGCTAACAAACAACGAACAATGGCAAAGAGGGAGGCAAATTAAACTGCTCTTGCATTAGTTCACATTAGCACAGTAAACATGCTACATAACTTCAGCGACACTGTGATTAAACAAAGACATCTTTCAAAACAATTATTTTCACATCCCCCCCCAAAAAAAACTTTGAAATGAAATGCAATGTAACAGCAGAAGCAGGTGTGTGAAAAGAATCAAAGCGGAAAATCCAGGACAGGGAGCATGTTGGGACAGTGATAGCAACCGCCACGTCAGTTATTGAGAGCAGTTACTGCAGCTGGGTAACAGGAAGAAGGGCAGGGGGCCTGAGTAAGAAACAGGAAGGAAGGAAAGGGAGGACGAGAGAGCGGGGGTGGGAGTTATGGATGGAGGGATGAAGGCGGAGGGAAGGGCGCAGGCTAGAAAGGAAGAAAGGAGGGTGGTGGTGGGAAGGTATATACCGGGCTTACAGCTCCAGGCGTCCCCTATGGTCCTGTGCCGGGTGTGAGGGAGGGGTGAGGAGGAGGAAGTGGATGGAAAGGAGGAAGGCTCGAGGCGAGGCCCCACGTTTACACCTCAAACTGTCAAATAAAATTTACAATAAATAAGGCTCTGCTCTTGAGACTGGGAAACCTCCCCTTCCCCCCCATCCTGCTCTCAGGTCAGACAGACAGACTGAGGAGAGTGCGTGAGGCTGATGGGTGGTGTGACCTGATGAGATGAGGAGTGCATGGAGTCAAACTACAACAGGAAATGGTGCAAATGAGGCTTGAAACGGGCGGGGTGGGAGGATGTGACTACTGCAGGACTGACTTCACTGTCTAGTCTTAGAATCTTTATCATTCCATCAGAAATCTGGTCCAATATGTTTACAGCTACTGAGTAACCATAAGATTCCTATAAAGTGAATTAGAAGAGGTTCTGTCTTCTGTATTTGGGTCAAACATTCAGCGTCAGGCTGTAAATGTTTGGAAAAAAGCATACATGTGCAAGTCGCTGCAGGCACCTTGTTTGTGACTACTGAAGCCATGTCCACATTAGAGATTTACGAGGTCAATGAAAGTTAATGACTTCCGTCATAGACTTACTATGTAAAAAGTACTGCAGTAACTCAAGAATCAAAATAACATTGTTTTTATGTTCAGCTGCTTACCATGATGATGGACACACCGGCTGTGGTGGTGGTGTGCTTTGGCGCAGTGTTAAAGTGTGTCTTCAGTTTACCTGTCACCTCCACCTTCATGTTGTTCTCCACAACTACATCCTCCTGCTTACACACACACACACACACACACACACATAAAATGTCTTTCCACAAGTTTTGCCACGCTGACACATACAGTACAGTTCTCCACAACTACATCCTCCTGCTTACACACACACACACACACAGACATAAAATGTCTTTCCACTAGTTTCACCACGCTCACACATACAGTACGCAAATACACAAACACAGTGTTATAAACTACCATGACCCATGGGTGTGACAGGACGTCTTGTGCTGTGTATCGAGCCTCGGCGTTGACCTGCAGCATCTTTCTAATCAGCTCCTAAAGCCAAACACACAGTGGTTTAGGTCAACGTCATCTGAACTACACATCCACGGAGTCGCTCAGTCATCTCAACACTACCTCACTTTGACAACACAAACACCCTGTTTCACCAACTACATCTACAATGAGCATTAGTTAAGACGTAAGACATTAGTGAAACTGTTGCTTTGCAAGTGCAGTTAACTGCATTTATAGTTTCACATTTTTAAAATGTGATGGGACTGGTAGCAGTGCATAAGCCATGGACGGTACTTTTTCATACTATCATGGGGGTTTTGGGGTCATTATGTAGAGCATAAGGTTAAATTTAAAATACACAGAGTAAATGGGGAACGATTTGATGACAGAGGTATATCATACATTTGGAGTTTGGCTTGTGTCCACCTGATCAAAGTAATATTCACTCTAACCGTTTAGCTCCTCAAAAACAGAAATATCTGGCTTTAAACACGCTCCAACACATTTAGGAGCTATTTCCTAACTGTCTGCCATAGAGAGTGATAGTAGTCCATTGTTGACATAAATATATTAATTAGAGCAGCATTATGTACATCATGTGATCTTTCCATACACCTGGTATCTTGTGATTCACATCTGTACTAAAGAATATTGGTTTTAATATTGTGATAGGAGTTTGTCACACTGCCCAGCACTGCAAATACATTGCTCGTGTTACTGAGGGTACTGCAAGCGGTAGACTACAGAGTTGATATACATGCTTCGACATGTATATCATGACACTGGCCGAGTGTAGACTACAGAGTTGATATACATGCTTTGACATGTAAATACATGTGGTGTCTGGATAAGATAACTTTATTCATCCCCGAGGGGAATTTTGGATTCTGATAAATTTACACCTGCTCAGTCTCACACCTGCAGGTTACTTCACGCTGCGGTGTCCAACTGTGCTCTTTCCTACAGTGACAGGCCACTGGAACATCAGTGGGTTTAATTAGCAGTTTGGTTTTGCATGCTGAGTGTGGGCTGTCACCTTGATACATGACATTCATTTAATGGGTTGGAGGGGTTTCTGTCTTTCAGCAGACAGTAGTTATTAACGGAGTGTGGACCATATGGGTTCACGTGTGTGTGTTTAAACTACAATTTGGAGACGTATTGTATTTCACACTTTTTAGTGCCACTGCATTTACTTAAAGCTAAACGGTTACTGTAATCCTCTATCAGTACTGAAAGTCATATAAATGAACATGTTTTGTGTGCGTGTCCAACCTTGGCTGAGTCTGTGATGTTGTCCCAGTAAGGACGGGGAAAGTCCAGGCGCCCCACAAGGATCTGATCAAATACATCCTCTTGCCGGTTATTGTCACTTCATGGAAAGACACACACAGACATTCACTGAGCAAAAATTTGTAATGCATGGCTCAATACACATAGCATAATCTACAATATAAAAAAAACCTGCCTAACTGCACTTTTAATTAACCATGAAGTGCTACAGCATAACAGCATTAATGTGGTAACTGACAGGCAGGAAAAACAAGTTCCCAAATAACGCGTTTTAACTCCTCAATATGTTCCACTGCTGACGCCGTTGTATTTATTGTTCAAAACTGAAAGCCTCCAATGGTTTGGTACTGCATGTGTAAATAATGTTGACACTGTGTCAGCCAGTGTAACTGTGAGACAATTGAATGAAATAACCTCAAAAGGAGTACCTTCTAAATGGAGGGAAGCCACACAGAAGGATGTAGGTGATGACACCTGCAGCCCAGATATCCACCTTCAGACCATAACTGTGGGAAAACAAGAGAGACATGGAAACAAAGGCCAGAGAGGGATTTATTACTAAATAAAGTTGTTGCAAAGACCAGATTTTCTGTGCACAATAATGATGTGGAAATAAAAGTACCACTATAAGCATTTATGCCAACACAGCTATATGGTTTGTGTTATTCAGGATGCCAATACACAAAATACCTTTTTATTCTGTATCCAGCTGATTACAATATATCCATACCACAGGCCTACATTTCTAATCCTTTGTTGTGTGTAGAACAGATGTTTCCATTTAAACCAAGTGACTGATCAGTTTCTTTATCATGAGCACCTTCCCTAAAAACAAAGCCCCAAACATCTGGCTTACCCAGACTCAGCTATGATTTCTGGAGCCACATATGTAGGAGTTCCACAGACAGTATACAAAGGTCCTTCCACCACTGTGGCCAGACCGAAATCCCCAAGCTTCAGTGACTTGGTGCCATCTGCATTCTCAAATACCTAAACAGAAAACATGCCTAAATCAAGGCCACTTGTGTAGCTACATGCTGTATGTAGCGAAAATGTTGTGTCGGTGTGCTGAGCCTACCAGCAGGTTCTCTGGTTTAATGTCTCTGTGGACAATGTTCATCCTGTGCAGGTACTTCAGGGCTCCAGCAAGGTTGTAGACCATGATGCTGGCGTCTCTCTCTGTGTATTTGGCAGAGGAGGTGATGGCATCAAATAAATCCCCTCCCTGTGAAAAGATCAACACTCGTTATACCACCCACAGAAATATTTCTGCACTGACGCTGGCTCTGTTAGCTCCTACAGTACCTTGACAAGCTCCATAACTAGGTACAGTTCAGAGGAAGTGTCCACCTCCTCGACCAACATGACGATGTTGGGGTGCTTCACCTTCCGCAGCACTGCCACCTCATTCTCGATGAGGTGCTCCTGGAAACACACACCCATGCAGATGATCCAAGTGAATAAGTTACCTTGTGCTCCAGTACACAGCCTTTACAAGTTCTTGTGCTCCAGTACACAGCCTTTACAACAAGTGTTTGTTAACTAGACAAATGCATTTCCTGAAGAAAATGCATGTGGATGCTGATTGCCCTGAAAATGCTGAAATCCACTGCTGAAACAGCTGAAGGCTGCGGTGCAATGCTGAATAATTATGGAAGATGAAATGAAAAACTGAAGTTGGGAATTTAACTTCATTATCTGAAGAAGGTGAGAGCATTCCTAAAACAGTGGAAGGCTTAATTCCAAAGGTAGAAATTAAATGGCTTAAAGTTTTAAAAATCATTTTTACTGACATCTGACAGATACCACTGACTGTGGTACGGCAGGTCGGGGTTAGATTCTGTCAAGGCATGATGGATCGTGGGAGGTAAGGTAGAGAAGAGGTGTGGAGGTAGGGTTTTGCCCTTACCTCTTCTCCATCTTCCCTCCCACCTTACCTCAGCATCCACACAATAAAAAGAGGCTGTATGGTTGACTGAATGTGAATTGGTGTCAAGTGTGTGTGTGTGTGTGTGTGATTCAGAGGGTCACTGTCTGCATGTCAAAGTGTGAACATGCTTTGAGTGAAGTGTTGAATAAGACAATCTAATCATTAGGGATGAGAGGATCAGAGACACACAGGCAACACTGTGCTGTGTATGGATGTTAATCATACACAGTGGAACATTAACATGTGTGTGTACAAGTCTGAAGGTAAGAAATGCAAAGAGAGGAAATGGGAGAAGGAGATGCTGAGAAACAAAGACAGAGCAAAACCTTTCCGCTGCACTTGGCCTTGTCAATGATCTTCAGTGCAAATTCTTTTCCTGTGGACCTGAACAGAAACAATGCAATTAGGGCTAGCCATAAAAACATGAGTGACGCTACAACAATGTCTGAGCACTCACTAGAGACAGTGACAGTGTGCAGAGCACCGCCAGTCAGTCACTGGGAGCACACACACCAATCAGCCATAACATTATGACCACTGACAGGTGAAGTGGAGATCACTGATTATCTAGTTACAGTGGCACCTGTCAGTGTATGGGGTATACTCGGCACCAAGCGAACATTCAGTCTTTGAAGTTGATGTGTTGGAAACAGGAGAAATAGGCAGCCGTAAGGATCTAAGCAGCTTTTGACAAAGGCTAAACTGTGATGGCTGAAGACTGGGAGAGAGCATCTCCCAGTTTGCAGTGGTTAGTACCTACCAATAGTGTCTAAAGAAGGACAGTGAACCGGCGACATGGACACTCAAGGCTCACTCATGATGAGGTTGATCTACTGAGGATGAAACCTTAAAATTTCTATGAAGAGAATCATTTAGCAGCTATAGTGGTGATATCACACTGATCTAACTTGTCCTCATGACCACAGTTTTCACTACTTTCCACAAGTCTTTCACTGAACGGTCGACACATTCACACTCTTCCTGACAGCAGGACCATGGGAGCAAACTGCTGCATTGATTCCTGTGTACACAGTATTAGGCAGGTGGTCATATTATGGCTGATTGGTCCATGTTAGCTGTACAGGCTACAGTACGTAAACAACACACAGACATGAAGTGCAGACACAGGCAGGCTCAACCAGAATATGAAAAGTATTTGAGTGACTTAACACCAGGGTGAATAACAGTGTTTCACTACCATCTCTAGATGAAAGCTTCAAGTTTGTTTCACCTCTTACCCCACCCAGCATCACTGCCTAGAGCTCTGGTACCGCTGTAGCCACAGCTCACAGTGATGCCACATTATGCAGACGCAGCCTGGAGAACACTTCTACATCACTGCAGCTAACTGTGGCAAGTAGGCACCACCTCCTCTGTCTGCCTGGGCAGTGTGATTGAAAAGCTAATGAAGTGAATTCACCGCCCACTTTAATACATGGGATATTTCTGACTCCAAAACGCCAGTCATCAGGACTTAAACACTCTAATGGACGCAGCAACAACACACACTGGTGTGCTATCACTACAGACAGCTGCCAACAGCGCATTAAACATTTCCACTCTGATCAATTGTGTTTCACCTACTTCTCCACACACTCTTTGACCACAGCGAAGTTCCCGTCTCCGATGACCTTCCCAACTTTGTATTTTTCCAGAATGGCGGAGGCAGGCAGGTAGCGGTTGCCATTAACTGCTAAGGGGAGATGAAGGTTAGAACAGGCAACAGACGAGCTCTGCTGTTCACTGAAGACTAGGACGCATGGGCAGAAACTCAGGCAGTTCTGTTTAGTTAAGTATCTGCTCACACAGCAGTGGGATATTTTACACTTAGGTTTTGCCATTTCTGTTGGATAAGCAAAATCTGTAATGTGCGCCAGTGGAATAAGTTCATTCAATAGTGTTGGGTCTGTTGGAGAATTAAGTGAATGACTCAGCCAGAAAACTGGAAGAGAGGACGTGAGAGGAGCAGAGAGGAAAGTGGACTCACCCTCTGGACTCAGCTGATTGCTTTGCTCTTGGTGGTTGTTCAACAAGCCATTTACATTTGGGGAGGAGGTGTGATGTGACGGATGGATCTGCAAGATGCAAAAAGAAACAGAAATAGAAATGAATGTCTAGCTTAAAACACCGAGTTGGCAAGTCACCATAGCAACCTTAAGATTTAAAAGCACCCACATGGATAAAACCCAGCTGGTTTTGTATTGTTGGGTCAAAGATTTAAAAGCACCCACATGGATAAAGCCCAACTGGTTTTGTATTGTTGGTGTCATATTCATGGGTCACTAAGGTTATTTTGCTGCATGAAAGTCTTTCAAATGACAAAAAGGTAAATGAACTCGCAACATATTTATCAAGCTACGCAATTTTAATGCTCAATTATTGCTTATCTATATAAATAAAAAAATTCACTTGTAATTTGAAAAGGCACAACATTGTTTTTATTCTTAATACTGAACAAGGTATAAAACAGGCTGAGGTGAAATCAGAGCTACTGGAACAGACGTCCTCCATATCTGTGTATTATCACTACACATAAAAAGTAAAAGCTCCAAGTGAATGAAAAGTTTAAGAGGGTCATTTCTGGGGTCTCCTGTACAACTGGATGCATAAAAACAGCTTTTTCCTCTGATAAATACCTTCTTTATTTGCCTTAGTTTAACCACTTCTATAAAACTGTGTTAGTTGGGGTGAATGAAAGAGACACTGAGCAACTATGTCATTAACATCTGTGTGTCCTCGTAGGTTTTCAAAAACACTCTTTACTTATAAAAATCTAATATCCTGCCAAATGAATGTGGCTGTATAAGTCTGACTGGGCTTAGAGAGGAACGGTGGCTCTCTGCTCTGCCAGCTGGCTGGAGCAGTTAGGAACGCTGTAGTCTGGGACTGACATGCAGATTATTGAAGACTCCATCAATAAATCAGGTTAGTATCTCCACCAAAATACACCACAGAGCTGCAGCACGGACTGTAGGTTACACAGGCTGTCAGTCAGTGATGTGAAGACTTGACATTGAGTTACTGCATCATTAAGTAGGTATACCGTGCACATATTTCCTATATTTTCTAGTTGTATTCTGATAAATAATGTATGTAGTTGTCATAACCTTGCTTAAAACACATGTAAGGGCGACCTAAGACTTCTGCACAGTACTGTACATACAATACCAACTGTATCAACTTGAACCATATAACATACTGTACACACTAGATAATATGTCTGAGTGCAGCTGTCTGTTGTGTGTGTATAACGTCTAAAGTATGTGATATGCTTGTGACAAGTTGGCTCACCTTAAACCTGGGGTTGGCTCGAGGGCTGGTAGGAGACGGAGTGGAGGACTTGGTGGATTTAGACGTTGAGATCGGGCTGTTTGAGACACCATTTACTGTTGAGAGCAAAGGGTGGAGATTTGCAGGGGAAA